AAACCCTAAACCCTACCTCTTGGAAGCCTGGGGCTTCTGCGGAAGGGTAGACTCGCGACTCGGGGTTCTCTTCTTGGGCCCCCTGCCAAGGGGAAGGTCAAGGCCGTCAGCACCGCCAAGGCCACGCTCGGGCGCCTGAGTGGCAGGGCAGGACTCCGGGTTGTGGATTCAAGGTTTGGGTACAGCTTGTGCTTGCTTTTCATGGACTACAAGCGAACACTACGATCCTGTTGAGGTTGACTACTCATCGTGGACATTGTGGCCGCCTTGAAGAATGCAGGAAATCCTTGGCTCCCTGCACAAAAGACCTTGACTTCCTTTACCGGCCGGGTGTGGACATGTGCAGGACTGAGGATTTCGGGGGCTGTCTTTGGTGGTGGGCATGAAAGTTCAACTGAACTCTGCTTCGTTCAGCTCAGGGCTCAGCTTCAAGCGGTGAGCTTCCGCGGCTCGGACGTGGCAAGGGCCAGACCGAATCCTTCCCTAACCCTTGAAAACAGCCTCTGAGATTTAAGTTAAGTAACACCAAGCTCTGAATAGACAGGAGGAACAACACTCATCGAGCGAAGAGGGCCTAAGATATTTGTACCGGCCAGTGAGCTCAGGGTCTAAGGTACGGGTACGGGTCGAGTTGCTAAGACGGAGATAGGACCGGTTAAAGTACCTGGATATATGACGGACATGTGCCCGACTTTGCAAAATACGATCCCTTGTCTCACCCAGCCTGATCTGCAACGATGGCCCATCATGGCCGGCCGGCATTCTCTCTAGTACCGGCTTTCTGTCCGTCTGAAGAACTGAAGCCTGGTGAAGCCTAGCATCACCTTCCGAACGTTGAAGCACCACCCTTTGGCTCAGCATGTTTGTCGCATTGTGATGCTGCCGTCCCTGGTACCTTCCACGGCTAGCCGTAAGTGTAAGAGTGTGGTCGTGCTGAGGCGTGCGTGTGTTACAGATGTTACAGACCGGGGTGTCGAAGAACCCCGGTTTTGGAGGCTGGGGTTCGCAAGCTTGGTTGCTACGTACGCCTGAAGGACTTTCGTCTTGACTTACGAGATCATCTGTTCATGGTGGGAGACGTGGCTCATCAACACCATGACTCATGACTCTGCAGACCCTCGAAGCCAACGGCTGGAACACCACAGAAAGTCACTATTCTCAAAGCGCAAAAGCCTCTTTTGGAAGGTGACTCTGCCTCCACCTACGTGTGATGCAAGACAAAACAAGACCGCGATTGAGTGCACTGCGGGATCCATAGCCTGGCCACAGGCTTCGAAAAGTTTGGGGGCTCAAGCCTGTCGTGAATGTGGAGAACTGGCACTATGCTTTGGCTAAAGCACCGCTGCTCGTTGCTATTGCCGGGGGTCGCCCAGATTCACGCAGGGTTCTCGGACGATGAAGCCAGGGCAACATGGTCTTGCAGAAATTCAATACCCCTAAGTTTACTCAATGCTTCAGAAAACGTTGCTATTGCTATAACCATGACTGCTGCGATGATTGCGACTGGGGCTACCACAAGCATTGCTAAAGAAATTGCTTGCTGACTATTGATACGTGGTAGCACAGTAGTACCCGTGGCAGCAGTAGTACTACTCACGAGTAACTTATACAATTCGTCACTTTATCTGTAGACATGTTGCTGGGAGACACAACCAGACAATCTCCAAGCAACTGGAGGACTGGCGATGTTGGGTATGGCAAAAGATAGCCACCTTTCTAGTAATTCTAGTAGTACGCAGATGGACTCGTACTCAGTGCTTTTACATCGAGAACACTCAACTTGTCAACAGAAGCAACCATCCAATACACTCTATCAAACAACACGCCGGACCATCACTGTAAAAACCGGGAATTGGATCTCAGTGTGAAGATCAACACAAGCCGAGACTCCGGACATATTACCTCAACTACCCGTTCTTCTTTAGGTCTACGTCGATTTGAAAACGAGGAAGCGAAAGCATCGGCATCATCAGCCAAGAAGAAAGCAGCGGTTGCACAGAGTCGCCGGGGGGTGGCCGTCCCGTCCCTTACTTTGAGTGTTCTCCACCTAATTGAGGAGTCAGCGCGAAACTAGATCAGCGGCTAAGAACCTTTCCTCTTATGTGCAGTACCATGTTCTGTTCTACGATGGCCTGCAACCCTGTGTACAGTAATCCTAGATTGACCGCACGACCACTAAACCCTACATCCTGCTCCTCCCGTAGGAAACCGATGGGGCTGGAGCCTCCACATTGTCAGAACACCGGCACCTGAAAGGTAAGCGTTCGCGGAGAGGTTTCAGAGACATGCCCTACAAGATACAACACCGAATTTCACAGACAAAAGCTGTAAGGCAGCCTCAATGAGTCCAACTCTTGCCGTCGAGACCACAATCTAATTTTTTCTGCTTGTCATTTAGACTCTTTTGATTGTTGTTGCTGTTGCCACCTGTGATCTTACTGTTGCTGTTCCCGTTTGGACGCCTGTTGTACCCGTTGTCGCCATTGAGTTTGCAGTGGGATTATTGCTGCTGTTCTAGTCATTCCAGTCGATGTAATCCGCACAAGGAACTGCCAAATTGCTGCTGAATCACTGCCAGGGTCATATCAGCAGAATCAAGGCGACTTGTCTGAGGGGTCGTTCGCACCTTTCTCCCAGAATGACGGATGACGACTTTCATTCGTTAGATATATAAGAAGATTTTCGGTAGGTGATGACTGTTCGTGACGAGGAACGGCTAGACCCAGGGGTGCAGCATGTGCTGTTTTATAACGGCGTCTGGCTCTCTCACGGCCAGGTCAATTTCTGTGCCAAACCCACACTTTCAGGAAGACGTATGTATGCACGTTGTTGCCTGAAATGTTCACTTCACTGCCTACAAATTTGGTCTTGGCACTGATGAGTTGGCCTTGCCGCTGAAAGGGTTTGGAATCTCAGACAGCAACCAAGACAGAGGTTTGGAACAAAAAATTAATGAGAGAAAATCCCCCACTAGGCCAACCTTACTGTAGTTTGTACTAGTCTTTACCAAAGATAGAGAGTCTCGGAATGGTTTTATGAAGACGTTTAACCCAAAAGTGTGCCTGGTGCTGAGAAGCCAGAGGTGATCGTGGGGATGACAATCACAGAATGGTGAAAAACTGTGCCAGAGAGCACGTTTTCAGCCAGACACATGTATGAAATAAATACTTTCAACAGACAAGCTGGCCTTGGCGCTGAAAACCGCTATGACTGTGGCGATAGAAATCTCAGGAGTTGGGACTTTGTGTCTTGGCAATCTTGTGACATGGAACGTTTTGTGGTGGCTTGGAAAGAAACATGAGAGTGGACCCGAAACCATACGACGTCCTTGGTGTCTCGTTGCTTTAAACGGGGTACGTTTCGCCCGGGGTGTGAAACGGAGCATGACATGCCAGCAAGGGAAACAACGACTTCAGATGTTGTGCTCCTGCGTTCCTGCACCAAAACAACTATTCAGCTCCGATTATAATTGCTGTACCACAGCCAACTTCTCAGCTCCAAATATTCATGTCACTATTCTCCGCTAGTATTGAAAGTTTACCACTACTGAGCATACGAAAATGAAAAGTATCCGAAGTCTTGGTGGTATTGCCAGTAGAACCAATCCTACTAGTGCTACTTCTATGTTGCCGGTTTTGCTTCGACTCTGGTTTGTTTTTTTCTGGTGAAATTATATTCCTTGCTGCTGCTGCTGCTGCTGCTGCTGCTGCTGCTGCTACTACTACTACCACGACGACATACGACGAGGACGACGACGACGACGACTGACGACAAGAGTGCAGTGTACAAACCGTTTAGCGGTTTGGCTGTGTTGTCGCTGTGCGGTACTAGGCGGTATTCGCAAGCAACACCTATCAGAACCTATAAGCCAGAGTTGGAAAGGTCGTTTTCCTTGTCGTGATGCGCTGAGATCGAGCAGTGGTTGCAGTGGCATTAGCAGTCCAGTCGGAGTAGCAGTCGGAGCAGTAGGTCGTCGTCGAAAGTGGCGATGACAGTGGCGGCGGCTGGTAGGGGCAAGGGTTAGTGGTTCTGGTCGTGGCCGTAGTCGTGGTAGTCTCTGTTGTTGCTGCGTTGCTATGGCTATTGTTGTTTTGCTGTTGAGCGCATTACCTCAACCGGAGATTATCTTCAAGCGATGCGCTCTGAACCGACCTTGCTCTTCCAAGAAGCCGAGGACCGTGCCGGTTCGCGTCGCGTGACTGAAGGTGCATTGGATACCTCTTGGAGGTTCATGGGTAGTTATAAGTGGGGTTATAAGTCCCCTAACATGGGTTATATGTATAGTTACGCTCCTTATAACCCCAATTAGAACTACCCATGAACCTCCAAGCTGGATCAGCTTTCCAAAACCCACACTGCCAGGCGCTTCATTGCCCTGACAAGGGTGGGGCACTTTGTCGCTCACTTCGTCTGAAGTCGCGGCATGGTTCGCTTCAGCGCTGGGAGTTGGATGCTTGGCTGGAGTCCTCTTGTCTTATGTCATGCTCGAGTGCAGGAATGGAAACATGTTGGCACTCGCATCATGCTCTAAATTCTCTAAATACTGCGCACATCTCCGAATACCAAATACCATTTGCGAACTTGCTCAGGCAGGTGCCCCAATGCAACCAGTCTTCCGTTTCCGCAAGGCTACCCCGCTGCTACACGAAGAAACTTAGACTGTCTAAAGAGCCACCGTGCCCTCTGTCTGTAGTGCGTCGCGCAATATGCCATCGTCCGATGTTCAGATCGCCCCACCTTAGGGCAGCACCTTTAGGTTTGAATGGCTGCGGGGCCGGCAACCAGGTTGCTTGGCATTGGGGTCTTGTACTTCTTCGGTGAAGGGCCGAGGAAGTGGGACTTGGCAGTTGGCTTCCGTGGCTGCTACCAGGGGATACTCAATGCGAATGATACAAAGAGGGAGGTGCCAAGTGCTCTCGTCTGCGGGTATAGCCCTGAGCCTGACCAGTCATGCTTCACGACCCAGGCCCCTATGCAGATGCAGGTGGCCGGAGGTGGACCTCATTGGCAGACAAGTCCCCCAGTCTCCAGATGACCAAGAAATTGTCGCCTGCAGGACCCCGGGCCGCTGTCTCCAAGGAGCTTAAGTGTTTCAGTCCTGTCTCTGAGGATGTTGATGAATAGGAGACAACGATACTGATGATGACTTTGCGACGAAGATGATGACGAAGCCGATGATGGTGTTGGCCAAGATACTAGATGGTCTAAGATGAAGAAAATCAAGATGAAGATAATCACGATGGTGGCGAGGGATATGCAGGCCGTCACCTACACTCAGATGACTACACATCGAACTCCTGTCTGGCGATACAGAGAGGAACATTACGCAGGCGAACTTAACTGTCTAGGCTGAACGAGGATAGTGCGGAAATCCATGCCACGATTTCCAACCGAACCCTGCCCGAACTTGATGTGAGCGAAGTCTTCTTCACCATCGCTCGTCTCTGCTCTTGAAGACAATCGAAACCCGAGTCCCGAACAAATCAAAGTGCACCCGCAAGCCCTGAATCCTGACCCGACCCCTTCAGCCCTGAGCTCAAGACCTTGAGCTGTTATGCCCTCATGTCTCTGAACACTGAAAACTCTTTCATTGAAGCGCGCACCGTCGTTCTTGTTGACGGCGCCCCAGCACTCGTCAACGACGCCGTGGACAATCTCTGCTATCTGGTTCACGAAGGTCATGACCTGGCATGCTCGAGGATTTGGGGAGGCAAGCAAGAGCCTGTGAGGCTTGAATACAACGAGCACAAGAAGAACTCGTTCTGCGCTCGCCCATTCGAGGGTGGGCCACGAAGAAAATTGAATGTGCACCCATCTGCGACCGCTGACTGGCCTTACCCTGCAGCACTTCTGTCGCTGTGCTGAAGTTGAGAATCCGCACGACTCCCACCTGTTCAGCGGATCTGGCCAGCTGCAAAGAACACAGCACCGCCGATGTGCTTGACTGATATTGACTGATGCTCCTTTCCGAGTTTGCTCTCCGGGCTCCCAGCAATGCAGTTCACCATGGAGCCTGACGGAGCACAGATGATCAGGTTCACTGAGGCAGCACTTCTATGCACCTTCCACCATGGCATTCACCCCGGAGTTGGCACCGTCCATGTTGGAGCTGACGATGTTCGCACCAGCCTGCCGAGGAACAGCCCTGAACGAAACGCTCGCCTTTGGTCGCGCTTTTTGAGGGCCGCCGGCCTCGCCAAATCCCAGCGCCAGGAGCGAGCCCAGCCTCTGATTCGCGGACCAGGAGGATACTGAAGGTGGACTTCCGTAGGAGGTTAACATGATGGAGTTTCCGAAAATTAGGGGTACCTTGTTTTGGGGTCCTTATAATAAGGATCCTATTATTTGGGGTACTATATTAGGGTCCCCTATTTTCGGAAACCCACATGAAGCAACAAACTTAGAGCCCCCTGCTTGATGATCGTCTTCTCCAAGATGACGGTCTCCATCGGCTCTTGAGCCTCCGTCCTGTCAGACAAAGCTCTCCAATATTGCCTACGGTTACTGGCGAAGTTGGGGCAGGACAACACAACAAGCGCAGGTGTACCTGAGTTCGGGTCGGTTCCCATTCCAATAAATCGTGCATTACATCAATTACATCAGACTGGTCGGAACAATGGATTACTTGAAACCGGATTCGATGACATTAAGCTAGGTCAGAATCAACAACAACAACAACAACAACCAAGTACTTTGCACTCCGATTCTGACATTAGCCGGATTTGAAAGGATTTGGGCGTTGGGACTGATACTCGGGTCCGTGCCAAGAATTGGAGAGTTGACTGTTGAAACTTCGGGCGTGGATCCCGATCTTGACGTTCGGCGCCTTTACCATTCCTTAGTTAGAACATACCTTGCCTGTTTTCGGCTATCGGCACAACCCACCCCAAAAAGATAAATATCTATCCTCAGAAAATATTTATTCTCAAATGCTCACGTGCTGGATGTGAAAGATCCTAGAAAAACCCCGAACCTGATTTTAGCAGCTACTTAAGAGCTTCCTTGCCGATTTCCAACAAAGGGCACTGCCTTTGTAGTTGGGATACTGGTAGGGGTCGGGCCAACGATTGGGTCACGCTCACAACGTACTTGCTAGGCTGCCCGAATAGATGTAGCATGAGCTTGATGGTTCCTCGCGTGACCTTGGGTTCAGATGCCTGAGGTGGTACTGCACTTGGCGTCTTGGTTTGGGATTCTTGGGATTGGCCTTGGCTTCTTGGCTTCTTGGCTTGGGATTGGGATTGGCTTCTTGGTCTTGTTTCCCCAGGATTGGCTTCTTGGGTTGGAGATGTGGGGTGGGGTGTCCTTGAAGTTCGCTCGGGTGTGTCTTCGAGTTTGCTCGGGTGTGGTGTTGGACCCGACCCATTTAAGATCCATTCAGTAGAATCTCGGGGTAGCTGGGATAACCTTGGCGTAGCTCCGAAATACCTCGGGGTCATATCGTAGAACTTCAGGGTATACGATCCTTAACTGCAAACCATGAACCAAATTCTACAAGGAACCCCTCGCCTAGTTATAGCACCTAGGTAGATGCAAGCAGTATTCCTAAGATGGTAACTTGGGTTGGGATCATCCTACCGGGGCTGTGATCTTAAGATAGGTTTTTATCCTAGGGTGGGAGGTGAGATCTTAAGATAGAGGTTATTCTAGGGTGGCTGGTGAGATCTTGAGATAGATTTCTCTCCTAGAGTGGGGGCTGGGTGGTGCCATACACCTAAATAGGCAAGGTACCATCTAACTTCCCTTTGCTTCACCTTTTGCTGCTGGAAGTCTCCCACGCTTTTGGTCGGCAACTCGCAGACTGCGACCTAGCTACTGAATGGGAGTTTCCGAAAATAGGGGACCCTAATATAGTAGGACCCTTATTATAAGGACCCCAAGATAAGGTACCCTAATTTTTGGAAACTCCCGAATCGATTGCAGTGAGCCATCTGCCGTAGCAGGCACAAGCATTCACACCTCTCTCCTCTTCCCTGCATCCAACTTTCGGGGAAGGTGGCTCAGTAGCAGTGGATCTGTGCAAAAGGGCTCACTGGAAGGGGCGCAGAGCCTCCACACCTTCCGCTGAACTGGACCACCGCACTGCCGCCTGACCTGGCCTGGTCAATGCAGGCCAAGCGACAGGAGACCAGCGTGTGGTAGTCACACTTCCCCCCAGCGATCGCCTGTAGACAAGTCTTGTGTCGGCTTCGACTCCCCTTGCGGGGCAAAGCTGGTGGTTGGCCTTCTCGTCGTTCGTCCGCTCATTGCTACGGGACATCTTGAAGCATAGCCAACCTGAACTGACATTGATTCCGAAGTTCAAGATCAATCCAAAAGCAGATTCTGAAAGCAGAAGGGCGACCGCCGTGCTCGTGGTCCACCCAGTGCTTCCAGCAGTACTGCCAAAGGCAAACATACTTCTCGATGTATTTCGGGTCCTTCGTCGCCTTAGCACGATGAAACCAGCAAAAAAACAGCAGATCCCGCCCGCCCCCTAGCACCTGTCTCAGCGGTCGGCTTGATAAAGCAAGGAAGCTGTGGCAATAGACTCGCCCTGCACCTGGGCCACTTGCCCATGGAGCTCTCCGACTCGGATCCGCCATCACATGGAATTGCCCCTCATGCTTAACCTCTCGGTCTAAAAAACAGATCACCCTCAGCTCAGGAGCAAGGAGAAACACCTCGGCGATACGACGAAGCCTGAGGCAACAGCCCAGAAGTACTTCTCGCTGTCACACCATTTCCTCTCGGGTTGAGGGCTGGAGTGGTATGTCCATGTCGTTCGCTCTACTCATGCTCGCCGCATCTGCCGGACAACATCCCTCCTCTGTCTATATGTCTATGCATATATGCCTGCCTATGTACCCATCTATCCATCCACCTATCTACCCATCTGTCTATCTAACTATCTATTTACTGTACCTATCTATGCGTGCGTGCACGTATAGTGCATCTTTCCACAGCTTACTGTAAACCAGTTATATCTAGGTAGCTGGCTACACAACTTTGTATCTGCTGATCCTGATTCAGCCAAGCTTTCTGTTATTGAGGTCCCAACTTTTCTCCATACCGGTTACTACAGAAATACAAACTCTCCAAAAACCTGCGAAACCTATGCCGCCCAGAGCTCTCTACCAGTGCTTCACACAATCCATTTCCAAAAACCGACCGCCAGACAAGGCTCCGAGAAGAGTGCAAGGCTTCCTCTTGAGAGTTGTGTAACACTTCGTTGTATAGACGGTGTTGCTTGAGACCTCTTTTCAATACACGGTTTAGGGTTTAGGAGTTTAGGGGTGTAGGGTTTAGGTGTATGGGGCAAGCGGAGTTTTCGGCACAGTGCAGCAAAATTTACGGCCTCCTTCAGGATCTGGGTTAGAGAGCCATCCAAAGCAGTCTGAACCCTAGACTGCAAAGAGTGAAGCGCATGACGGCACAACAGTGTGTGCCCCCGGGGAGGAGGGACGAGTGGCACGCTACGGGCTGCTACAAACTGCTGCACATGACTGCTGCATGCGTTCATCGCGCGCAGGGAGTCTGCAACTGTCCTGTCTGGTCCAAATCCGTAAACAAGGCCGCCGTGGCAATCGTCCCATGACAACTCCCAGGCTCCGTCGAAGAGCTCCTCTCGTCTCAGGGCCGAAGGCCTTGAGCTACTACAGGTATCCGTGTGGTTTACGTTTTCGGCTTGTGGCCCTCTGCTCTCCGCCAACAACTTCTGCTTTGAGCGGGCACTTGGCTCAGCTTGAGGGGCCCAAGGCGTCCTGGTTAAGGCCTTAGGGCCTTGGATGTAGAAAGGCAACGCAAGGCAGACGGCCATGCCGATCCCCAGAACCTACACATGCACACACATGCGCACACATATGCACACACATGCACACACACGTGCAGGAGAAGATACAGCCTTGGCATTCCTAAGCTGCGGAAGTTCAACCCTGTCCTTCGCACGGTTGACCATCCAAAACTTGGGCCTGTGGCGATAGATGTTCAGAAGGTTCTTTGCCCACTCGATCCTCGGACCCGACATCTCAGCGCTCGCAAGCGAAGGTCTTGAGAGCTTTGCCCCCTCGTCCGTCTTTCCCCGCTCAGCTGCTGATGCCCAGGCTGGAAGCCCCAAGGTCTGTAGATGTTGGTCGGGTCATTCTTGTTGTACTCCTTGGTACATCTGGAGGCAATTCAAAAAAGCACCCTTGCCCTGAAGTAATCCAAGCAGCCCAATCGATCTCAAAGTTCACGTCATAATGCTCCCAAACAAAGCCTCCACCTGTGGACAGGTCCGAAGCTACCCTGATGCTCTCGGTCTGCCCACGCAGGTCGAGCGCCGGCCTTTCGCAGCGAGCTTCCTCAGATCCCGATCAGTTCAGCTTCTGTGGTTGGTCATGTCGACCGCGGCTGAGTTGATTCAACTTGGGCCGGGTGGCGCCGCAAAGGTCTCGGCGAGAACTTCCGCACGGTCCAAGTAGCCTCGCTTCCGCAAGGCTCCAAGGGGAAGTCTCCAGCGGAGTCCTCTTCTTCGTTCCCTTTCCGATCGCGAGGACTTTCGGGTCCCTTTTTCCGAATTTTCCGGTTTAGGGTTTAGGGTTTGGGGTTTCGGGTTCCTTTTTCCCTACCTGGAGCCGAGCCGCGCGGCTCCTTCGTGGCCTCGTAGGCGGCGATCAGCGCCTTCCAAGCGCGGACTTAGAGGTTCATGGGTAGTTATAATTGGGGTTACTATAAGGGTTACTATAAGGGTTTCGGGTTTAGGGTTTAGGGTAGTTAAAATTGGGGTTATAAGTAGGGTAACTATACTTATAGGACTTATAACCCCACTTATAACTACCCATGAACCTCCAAGTAACTTCCCAAATCACACAGGCGCCACAGACTTCCCGTGAACACAGAATCTCACAAGTAGAGGCTCTGTGTATTCCTAGTGTCCTAGTGGCCAGTGCCTCGCACATGTGCATGTTGGAGTTCTGGCCCCGGTAACTGTTGTCAACCACGCCTTCAAAGCATGGAAACTCTGCAAACAAAAAAACGCAGTGGGATGCAGGCAGCGCTCTGAATCCGCGCCTTCTGCACTGATCGTGTCCAGGTATGCTCCCCTCAGACTTCGGAGCACAACGGATTTCATCCAAGAGACACCGCGTCCCTTCCACGGATTTCCGCAGAGGCACTTGTCGGGAAGCCAAAACTTGCGCTCCAGCAGGTCGAACACTCTACCTACCTCCACATTGTCTTTGGCAACCTGCGACAGTCTCGCAGTCACAACCGTGCTGACTCGATTGATCGCGGCACTGTTAAGTCAAGCCACTCCGGCTGCACGCGCTGCAGCGTGAGCTGCGAGGATGAAAGCATAGCCGTACGCCTGCTCCACCATGTCCTGGCTTCGATGTCACACGCAGAAGTGCACTTCCTACAGCTAGGACCTTAGTAATCAGAGTCCCCGCGCTCACCATCCTCGGCTTTGTGGTCTCGGACCGTGAATGCATAGCTCTGCTTCGCTGGATTGTAGTGCACCTTTTCGATGTACCTCTGCAGAACCACGCCAAAATGACATCCCGACTACGACAAAGTGGACATTTATGCTGCCAGTCGTCTCCAGCCCATGGCGGCCGATATCTAGCAGCTTCGGATCCTGCAGAAGCTTGCCCGCAAGCATGAAGTTGATCACCTGGGAGATCTGCAGGCAATACTTCACGTTCCATCAATCCTTGTGCAACCCTAAACCCTTGAGCTGCTCACCATGCGAGAACTGGACACGATCTGTCGGAACTCCGGGTTGAATTTCCTCCCAAGCCCGGCTGGGATGGTCTAAAGACTCTCGAGCTTCTGTGCAAGCTTTGAACTTGGAAAGGTTGGCTGATGTCCGCTGCAGGAAACCACCCAGAGCTACAGCATCCGATTTCCGCGCCTACCATCGATGTAGAAGCTCTGAAAGAAGCCACCGCTTGGGTCCACGGCCCTCTGGCAAAGAGACGCACAGCACGGCAAGGACAAGAGGAAGAGGCTGCTGCGCCTTGGCTGGTAGAAGCCGATGATATCCCGGATGTGCTGCGTAAGAAACTCCTGGCAACTGGCCGCAGCAACTTCGGAGTCTCTCCGTGGGGGCATCAATGACAACTCCGCTGTAATTTCTAGAAAGGATAGCCGAGGAGAAAGTCGGTTGTGCGCCCCTGGTGGCTCAGTCCTTGCTGAAGAAGTTGTCTGGGTTGGTCCTCGCCTTCTTCTTTGCTGGCTCCGCCATGGCCACGGGGCGTTTCAAACAAGCCACAAGCAACCAACCAATTTTCCCTTTACTCTGTTGAACAAGCAGGAAGGCGACGAGAAGCAGTCTCGGCGATACTAGACTGCTTGAAGGATCATGGGACTTAGTAAGTAAGGTTATAAGTCCCTTAATTGGGGTTATAAGTATAGTTACCCTAATTATAACCCTACTTACTAAGTCCCATGATCCTCCAAGTAGTCACGAGCCAGCTGATACGGCACGTACGTGAGACATGCGTTCCACTGAGGCTGCTGGGTTCCGAAGATGCTGCTAAGCCAACGCTGCGGTCCCCTCTCCGCCCAGGCAAGCTGCATGACAAGCACCACCCCCAACTTTCGGTGACTCCACACATTGGCATTAAACGAAGGGCCCTGGAAACCCACTTAAGGGACAATACCCCTGATCCAAACACCCTTATATAACCCTTACATACCCCTTATATAGTCTCACAAGCCCCCAAAATGACCAACCTCCTTTAGTCCCTTGGCCCACCCGCCCAGAGAGGGGCCTACAGAGCGCTGCCGGGTCTCTGAGGCGCTTCCAGCGCGACTTGCTCTCCTCGGCCTTCTTCCTCCTCTCCCGCTCCTGGCTCCGGTCCGCGCGGGGTTGGCGTTGGGATAGCTTGCTTTGTGCCCAATGTGCGTGAGTTTTTTGGGGCACGTACTGTACAGTGATTCGTGGGTCGTTAGTCTGAGGTTCAAACCTCCAAGTTTTGAGTTTTGAGCGACTCGTCCGCGCGCCTCTCGCTGGAACTCGTCGTCTGCCAGCTTTGTGGCAGCCAGGGGGTTCGACCGGATGGCCTGCAGAAGTTCGCGTTTGGGATTCCGCACAATGCTTCAAAACAGAAAGTGCCGTTCGGGTATCTGGGGCTACTTCTAAACATCTTCAGACCTAGGTCCCGAGGTTCAGCATTTACAGGACCCTCCCTCTGCCTACGGCCACGGCCGCCCCAAGCACGTTCGGGGCGGGAGACAACCCAGGCTCGAAACATGGGTTCGAGCCCGGGTTCAAAAAGGAACCTGCACCTTAGGTGGTTACTTAAAGGATCATGGGACTTAGTAAGTAGGGTTATAATTTGGGTAACTATACTTGTAACCCCAATTAAGGGACTTATAACCTTATTTACGAAGTCCCATGATCCTCCAAGTACAGGAGCTCAAGTCCTGCATCTGCCTCAACCTTCCGCATCATCTTCTCCACTGGCGCCAGAACGAGGGCCTCAAAGCAAACGTCTCCACACTCTGTTTCTGCATGCGCTAAGCCGGAGGCGCATCCCTCTCTGAGGCCGCGACATTTGCAGTGCTAGTAAACATAATGGAGGCGATGCACAAAATGACGCATATAAAAACCTGTCAGATCGGGTTCAAGGTCACCACCAGCTCTGCTTTTTGTTCGCTTTCAGAAGCTGCTACGGCTGAGCTCGCAACAGTCGTCGCGATGCTAAACGCCGCCTCTAAAAAGTAGTCACATGATGAAATCGCAAGGGAGATGTCTAGCTCGGTCTTGGGGACAGAAGTGGCATGCCTCTGCTTGCACGAACGGTCGCAAGTCGTAGTAGAAGACAAAGAACCAAGATTGCGTATACCTGTAGCTGACTGTCACAAGGCTTTCGGGGCTGCCAGCCCAAGACGATTCACGAGAGCATCCGGAGGAGGGCACGCGGTGCCAGGCATGAGTCTCGGAACCACTCTTTCGACCTCCCAGGAAGTCGCGATCAACGCTTGTACGAACATCGGAAGAACATCCAGAGAGCCTCTTGGTAGCGCAAGTCCGAAGGGCATGGCACTGGATGATCAGCGTCGCTCAGCACCTCGAAGACAGTGCAAAACAACAGCAGGAGCTGAATCTTGGACATTCCATTTAGTGGCCGACTGACACACCAATGATGAGCTTCCCCTTCATGTCACACTCGGTCGTCCAATTGGACGCCAATTTTTGCACGACCTGCACAGCACACACAGACGTTACGTCCAATTGCCGGGCTCGATTCCGGCCGGCCGAGGCCAGTTGCTGTAAGGGTCAGGCTTCCTGCGGCATCGCGCCGTAGGTATAGAGAGCATTCCTCGAACCACTTGCCATCGACACAGGGCAGTGGGGCCAGCGACTCCGTGTGCAGCGAGCAATGCGAACACCACGGCACACACATGCTTCGGCCAAGCTTCTGCGTTGCTGCCGCGGCATCGAAGGCCAACACCTTAAACGCATCCACGTATCCCTTTGGAAGAGCCCTCCCCTCAGCATCCTCATCATGCCTGTGCAACACCGCTTGAAGAAGCCAGCAGGGCTAAGCTTTTAAGCCTCTCGCCTCCGAGGGAGTCAGGGCCACCTCCAAGGCTTTCTCGCGAAGCGGTTGCTCATCCCCAGCCCCGAAGCCGGCGATGCCAACCTCGGAGCTCGGGAGCTCGGGAGCGCAGAGACGCAGGAAGAAGACCCTCTCTGGGTTCCCGGCCCAGAAGGCGTGGCTCAAGAAGAAGCGCGAACAGCTAGATATCGCTGTTGGACATTCCGCACTTCGACCTGGCCCATGACTTGAAACACATCTGGCCATGCCAAAGTCATGTGGCTGCAATCCCGCAGACCCCCCGTTGCTTCGCTGGCCTGTGAACCAGTTATGGTAATAGAGCGTCCTCAGGACAGCCTCACAGAGCTAAGTCTGAAAATCCCTGGTCTGCGCAGGAGAGCAATTGACCCTGCCCTGCGCATGAGAACATCTGCCTTGTCGTAACTGGGTCGCTGCGTTGCATCTAACTGTGCTCGCCGGTAGGCCTGCCCAGAAGCGTTGTGGGGGAAGGAACGGGAATTACCACATCGCGAGCATTGCAACAAGGCGAAGGTAACGGAGTCCGAGGGATCCTAGTCGAGTCCGAAAAAAGGCGCCGCTGACGGAACGGACTCCTGTAATGCCGGCGACGAGATGCCTACCCCGACACAGACAAGGCAGTGAAATGAAGTCCCTGCCCCATCTCCCGAGCCGTAAGGCTCAACTCCCCTGAATCTTCGAACCTTGAACCCCCTAAACCCTAAACCCTAAACCCTAAACCCCAAACCCTACACCCTAAACCCTGAACACCCAACACCAAAGGCCCCAAAGCCCCTCGAGCCCTGAAACACGCAAAAACCCTACAGGCCATGTCTTAGCTCAAGAATGCCCTGCTTGCAGGTTATACCTAACATGGGTCATAAGTATAGCTGCCCTACCTATATCCCCATTAAAAGACTACCCATGAACCTTAAAGCCTAAACTCTAAACCCTGATAGCAACCTTTATCTATAGTAACCCCCATAAGGTATAACTGCAGAACACCTCCCGAAAAAAAAAAAACGCCCCGAAGATTTCCGAAAAATCCCTAAACCCTAAACCCAAAAACCCTAGAAACCCTAAAAGCCCCAAAAACCCTACAAGCCCCGGCCCCCCAAAAAGTGCGCCCAAGAGTCAGAGCCCCAGCCTCCAGGACCTCCTCGGCGCCGTAGGTGGAGGAGGTCGGGAGCCGCTCAGCCATGTCGATCCTGCCATAGGGTGAAGTCATGGTTTAGGGTTTAGGATGAAGGGTTAGGATTTAGGATTTAGGGTTTAGGATTTAGGGTTTAGGATTTAGGGCTTAGGGTTTAGGGTTTAGGGCTTAGGGCTTAGGGCTTAGAAAAAGGTTTATGGTTTAGGGTTTAGGGTGAGAAGGGCTACAAAAAGAGAGAGCACGCTGTTTTGGGCTAGTGGGAGAGGCCCCCTGATCCGTAGTTAGGCATCATGTCTCTAGAGGTTTCGGATCTTTGAGTTTGAGTTTGTTCCCTTATCTCGGTTGCGGGATCTGGCAGGCGTCAGGTGTCAGGCATTCGGAGAGGCAGGAGACAGTGCCGACAGCGCCTAGCGCGAGTAAAGAAGCGAGGTCTCTGGCCAAGCCCAGAAGACCCGAATCCTGCGCTTAACGTGCCTCAGGAGGGGCAGGACGATCAGGAGCGTGAGCACCTGCGGAGGGTTTAGGGTCCTTGAGGTCCTTAGCATCAGGCCTCGATGCGTTTGTCTTGGTGCTCTTGGGATTCTCAGCTTTCTCTGCTTGTTGTTGAGTTTCGGACGTGCGTCCCAGCAGGTTGTTTCATGCACCCTCTGCAGTCCTCGACACATCTGAAGCCTATGTGCATCCTTCAGATGCACGGAGGAAAATCGGCCGCTGAGGTGCAATCCAGCGATGTTTGCATCATTCTGCCCCAGCGCCAGGACCGGGACCATGAAGAAAACGAAACAGCGTGGAGGAATCACTGACGCGGCTGAGTGTCTATCTCGAAAGGGCTGTGCATGGCTTCAACTTATGGGCAGAATGCTTCGAGTCTCGGCCGGTGAAAGCTAGACGGCTTGACTAGTTCTTGGCGCTAGCTGCGCGGTGATTTAGACCTGAAGCGGCCGGCATACCGGGAAGCTCTTCAACACCACTTGTGGCACTGCGCTGCGACGGTTCAACGCGGTGGACTGCTCCGAAGCGCTTTCGGCTTTAGGTTTAGGGTTTTAGGGTTCAGAGTTTAGGGGTTTAGGGGTTTAGGGTTACGAGCAAGTGAAATCAACGGACCTTGACTATCGTAATTGTTGTCACTTCCCGGTAGGCGCCCCTCGAATTTCGTAGGAAACCGCTTCTCAGGAAACGACGCAGGCCCTCGAGGATTAAATCCTCGGAACCGAAAGGTTTGCGGCCAGTCGACAGCAGCGCTTCAGCGCAATACGGAAATCATCCACTTACCTTCTTGCCTGCCTGCCCGTCTGCCTGCCTATCAGTCAATCCATGTAAGTCAACGTAACGAGCCATCTGTATGTCTGTCTGAGAGACTGCGACTCTTTCAGCATACATGATAGATAGATAGTTAGCTAGGTAGGTAG